AGTGTCAAAATATTCGCTGTCAAGGAACTAAGTGTTTGGTGTTGTCTAAGTCTTCGCCATCGAGGAACTAAATGTTTAGATGTCGTCCAGGTTTTCGCCGTCGAGGAAGTAAATGTCTACGGGATTGCCATCGAGGAACTAAATGTCTAGGAGTTGTCTAAACCTTCACTGTCGAGGAAGTGAGTGTCTACGTGTTCGCCGTCGAGGAACTAAGTGTCTACGTATTGTCTAGATCTTTGCCGTTGAGGAAGTAAATGTCTATGTAGTCGCCATCGAAGAATTAAGTATCTTCTAGATCTCGCTTCACTCTCGCCTTTCTCGTCTCTTTTACAGCTCTCTCGTTTCTTTAACAATTTTCTCGTTTCTTCCTCAGAACCCTCATCTCTCTCATGACTCTCTCGACTCTTTAACAATTCTATCTTTTTCAGTACTCTCGCCCCTCTCACAACTCTCTTGTCTCTTCTACAGTTTTCTTATCTTTCTCACGGCTCTCTCGTATTCCTCACATCTTTCTGAGCTGTTTCTCTGCTTTCTCATCTCTTTCTCAGAACCCTCATCTCTCTCCCGACTTTTTCGTCTTTTTTACGACTTTTACCTTTCTTTCAAGACTCGCGTCTTTCTAACAATTTTCTTGTTTCTTTCTCGGTACCTTCGCTTCTCTCACGGCTCTCTTGTCTCTCTCACGAGTTTCTCGTCTCTTCCACGGCGTTCTTATCTCTGTCACAATTTTCTTGCTCTCACGGTTCTGTCGTTCCTCTCACAGCTCTCTTGTCTCTCTCATAGTCTTAGTGATGATATACGATTCATTTAATCATTAAAATAAAATAAAATGAATATATATAAATTATATAAAAAATAAAACGAAATAGAACATAAAATGAATTAAATAAAAAAATAAGGAATGATATAAGTAAAATAAATAAAATCAAATAAATAAACAAATAAAGAATGAAACAAATATAATAAAAAATAAAATGCAATGAAACAAAAATAAAATGTAATAAAATAA